TTATATTCAGTATACATTTAGTTCTTTAATATGAATCTATATTATAACTGGAAATATATCTTCGTCCCTGTCTTTGTAATTTTATATAAAAGTATCATTACTATTACCGTCAGCTATCAGGGGTGACAAATATTGTTTATTTGGCATTTTTGGTGGGTTCCATTATTGAAAAAGTATATTATAACAATTTAACAGACACTAAAATGATGTAAACAATAGTTATATTCATTATTTTACCTACTAGAATTAGAAATCAAAACCTCCTATTTGAATAAAAAGTCTATTTTATCTTATTAGAAACTTTTCTATAAAAGTAGTAACAAAATAAAAGAAACTATTAACATATTTGAAATTAGATATAATTATTTGTAAGTGTTAGAATTACTGTAAATATGTATACATATGGATACGCCATGAAGATAAACAATAATTAAATTTAAAATAGCGCGCCAGTTATGATAACTAATAAGATATTATTTATGCAAACAAAATTAAAGCTATGAATATGTCAATTATATTTATGTATAAGTCTGTATTATCAATTAATATAAAGATATTTCGTACAACTTTTGCTTTTTCCAGTTTACTAACTAGGGGCCATCCATAAAATACGTCACACTAATTTCATGAGTTTTTGAGCCCTCCCCCGTCCTTGTCACAGGTGGTCACATTTCTGAGACCCCCCCCTCCCTAGTGTGACGTCACATGTTTTGCAATTTAATCGAAAAATTATTAAATTAAAACAGCAGTTCCGAAATTAGTTTTATTTCCATTTAAAAATAAGTACTTTTTTAAGAAATCAACATAGTATCAAATATTTGAAATAATAAATAAACTAATGAATATATACAGGGTGACTGGTGAATTACTATCGATACTTGAGGACGTGATATTTGACGATTATATATGACAAAATAAAAATTAATATAACATAAATATTAATAAACTACTAAGTAAAGTTAACCAAAAAGTTATGTAATTCATTACGCATCGTGTGAACAGTCTACAGATTATGTATACACACACACACACACGCGCGTTTGGCGGCGTGGTGTTGTATCAGCACGCCGCTAGCACGCGTCCACACTTGGAACACTTGGAACGTGTCCTCACTTTATTTATTTATACGGAAATTTAGTCAAAAATTAAGTACCTTTTTTTACATAATTCGAATGAGAATCATGTACCGAGTATTCTCCTTAAATATTGATAGTAATTCATGTGATGACGCGCTCAGTTTTAAAGATTTTAATTAATATTTCAAATTACGCGATTAGTAGCTCTAGATTTTGAAATGTGATGTCACGAAACTTAGGACCCCTCCCACCCCTTGTCACACCATGTCACACTTTGTCGACCCCCTCCCACCCCCTTTACGTGTGACGTACTTTATGGATGGCCCCCTAGCGTTTAGTGTCGTTTAAATATATTCTGTTTAAAATATGTATGTCGTTTAAATTCTTATGGCTAGTGCTCCCTATTTGTCTCTTCACATTTCTCTGTCATACGTCGGGAGTATGTAGTTTTAAAATAATAAGAAAAGCGTTGTATATCAAAAACCTCAGTTTTATTAAAATATCTAAGTTTACTTTGGCCTAGTCATGCTTATTTTTTTAAACTTATGAGTTTCGATTGTTTTACAAATGTATTCAAAACATACTATTTATTAGAGGGATATGGTTGTGGTACATAAAAAGTTCGAACATTCAGTATTACTCTCTCTCCGTTAAAAGCAGATATATATAAGACAAATATAATTTTGATTGGAAAATTATGAATATTTCAGTTGAAATTCCAACTACATACTTCTTTATCACAAAATAAATGACTGGAAATTTTCACCAGCAACATTACGTCATGCCCGTATCATATTTGTACATCCCAGAATAAAAAAAAATATGTTCCTATTTTAGCAGCTTTTTTTCTCTTAAAACAAATTAGCAATTATAAAAACTGGGAAATTGCCAGCAAGAAGAAGAAGAATAACTATTACTGAGGTTTAATACAATATATCTTGTTTCAAATATCAATTAAGTAATTATGTAAGCTCTAACAACTATGTAACAGTTTTATTTATTTTTTCTACTTATTAATTGGTTAACCAGTAACACACCGATTTTTTTATTCTATACATTTAAGTCTATGCATATGTATATTAGAATTATAGTACGTTTTTTTTATAATTAGCTATAAATCCATTTTTAATAATAAAATAAAAACATGAACCTTAATTTATAGTATACCATCAATATAAGATAAAATGAGTAATTAATTAATTTAAATTACTCATTTACTATGCAGAAAACGGAGTCTTACACTCTAATTTGTTTGAAATCCTGATTCCTATTACAAAAGAATAAATTATTAACAGAAAATATCACAACTCTTTCACGCAAATAAAAACAAACTAGAATCGATGTTTTCGAATCGTTTACGATGAAAAATCTTCCCTGCATTTTTTAAAGAATTCCTTCAAAAGATTTTTTTTAAAAGTGAGAAATTAATTTATACAACAATTTCAACGACAGTTTTCAATACATTAAACATGTTTTGAATTATCTTTATCATTACATATATTTATATATTATTCGTTCTATACGCCTCGCAAGTATAAAAAAAAATACAAAACTCTATACCTATTTATTATTATTTAAGATTTTAGCACCTTCACATGATATTGATAAACGTGAAATTTAAGTCTAGTTTTAATTTACAAATAACAACACCCCTTTTAATGTAGCGGGTTGTTGTGTTTTTTTTTCTGATTAAATCTCGTGACCCCTGGTTCAAGGTTAGGGTCAAGGTCACCTTCCTGTTAATACATTTTCAAATGTCAATCTCACAGCAATGCGGTTTAAGTTCAGTATTACTTCTCATGTATATATCAAATTATGTAATCATTAAATATATTTTAAGTTGTATAATTAAAAAAAAAAAAATAATTAACTTTTTACAAAAAAACATTTCACAGATCGCATCGAATTTCATCGACAATTATGAGCATGTAATGTCTATTTTATTAAAAATACGACCTTTGTTTATTAAAATATATCTTATCGTCCGATTCAGTATTTAACAAAAAGAGAATAATCATACCTACTTACCTACTAATATAATAAATGCGAAAGTAACTCTTCCTGTCTGTCTGTTACGATTTTGACGCTTAAACTACTGAATTCATTTTAATGAAATTTGGTACAGAGATAGAGTTGACCTTGAAAAAGAACATAGGATAGTTTTTTACCCCAGACTTTTGGAAGGTTATCTTGGAAACGCCATATAACCGAACTCCACGCGGGCGAAGGTGCGGGCGGAAAGCTAGTCTTTTATAAACTAAACTTAACCGGTAAACTATTTATATAATATATAAAAGTTCGCAACCTTTGGTGATGACTCATGGTGTACTGAATAAAAAACAAGTTCCCGCCGAAATTTTACAATAAATGACTTATATATAAAGTTAAAAGACCCAAGCACCTCAGACGCAAAGACGAATATAATAGTACAAAAGTATTTAAATTTTTTAGCTTATTTATTATATTCAGGTTGTGATTTCGTTTTTGTGTATATCTGTCTAAAAATATTTTTATATAATAATCTCTAAATTGTATGCGAATTTGTAAATTAAAACTAATCAACATCAAAAAAATATTTTTTATATAGCAATAAGGTCTGTTGATTGGAAACATTTATTGGGTTCTTGATTGCTCAAAACTATTTTAATTCGTCAGTAACCATTATTTTTGTCTAATACAGTTATAGTTTTTCCTGTTAACTTTATATCCTTTTTTTGTTAAGATTTGATTCAATTCTTTTTAAGTTTAATGGATCTATCAGTTTATATTAATGGAAAAGAGGTGTGATGATTGTTAAAGAACTTCTAAACGAAAACCCTCTAGAAGTAGTTTTGTACAGGTTGTTTTTTAAGTGTTATCACGCCCATCTAGCAATAAATTTGAAGATTTCTAATGTATTAAGCAGGTAAGATTTCTAAAAGTTTACCAGTTCTATAAAATTTACAAAGCCACTTTAGTAATTAAACCCAAAGGATGAACCCCGAATAACATGTAAGCAGAAACTTTGCAGACGTTAGACTTTATGCTGAATAGTCCTGAGCGATTCTTCACCTCGGATGGTGGCTAGAGAACCACGTGAACATGGTTGTCTGTTTAAAATGAAATATTCATATTTCTTTAGTAAATTTTCTCCTATGTAAATTTAATACATCTACCATCTAGCATGCAATCCTCGGTATTTTTGAGACAGTCGTAGTTGAGACTGAAGTTGAAATATACTCGAACAATATCTTCAGATATGCGGACAATGGGTGGCAGATCCATATATTAGTATGGAAACTGGTACAACAAGCGAAGCTTTATATGTACAATTTGAAGTAGGTGGACGGAACAGTTTTGTGACTTTTGTCAAGAGCAACATTTAGTAGCAAATGGGCGATCGCCTGACTTTGTTTTATTGACCCTTATTTTAAAACAATATGTGTTATTAGTTCTATGTCAAACAATAAATTATTTATTAACTGAATCTCATTGCAGAAGGTTGAATATAATTTTTAAGGTAACTTTTTTTTGGGCAAAACCTTAATAACTCGGTGTTAGTGCATTGTTTATTTTTGTAAATGTTTCTGTAATCCGCTTAGTGAGTAACGCTTTATGGGCTTAAGCCGGTTTGACCTGCCGTTAACAATTTATTACCTAAAAAAACAGTCTCTCCAGTAATTTGTATTAAAGTAAGAATTACATTTTTTTTTACTTGATAATTAAGCAAACTATAATAATAATAATAATAATAATAATAATAATAATTTTATTTTCAGACAAATTATGTGTCCATATTAAAATTCATTTAAAGTGTTAGTAACAAAATCTTAAAATCTAATGTTAGTACTATAAAATTAAAATTTAAATTAAAACTAACATACTAGGCACTATTAGGCCTAGTATGTAGTTGTACTGTACTGTCTATTATCGCACATATTTGACTTAAACATTCACTGAATTCAATGAAGCTATCACTTTTACTATTATCGAATGGCATATACACAGAAAACAACAGCATTTCACGGTTATCATGCACAATGCAACTCCTCCATGAGGTCGTCCCTTGACGACTCCCATCGTCGTGTCCATTGATGACTTGCCTGTGTATGTGAAGTTGTCATCCAAGCTGCTCAAATACGTCAGTTCATGGGGCCAAAGCCAGGTCTCCTTTAGGGCGATGACGTCAGATGTTTTGCATAATCGCTGTACACACTCCGTCGATCTTACAATCGATTTACAATTGAAAGATGAAATAATAATTTTCTTTTTTGTCCACTTTATCCATTATGATTGTAATTTATCTTCAATAATCGCAGAGTTGTCTGTATCCAAGTGTTTTTTAAAGAAAACAAAACGTCGAAACGTTATACCTTCTGGCCATAGATTGTCATTAAGATATATGTGCAACTTACTTTTAGTTACAAATAACTTAAACGCATTATAAGGCTTATCGCGTTTCATACTGATTTTTTCTAAGTTTACATGCTCCTGGGTTTTACTCTCAATATATTCAACTATATCCTGTTCAGTCGTCTGTTTACTTACATTTGATATAAGTAAGGGAATTTTTGTCTCCGCCGCTTTAAATTTTCCCGAGGGCGATGAAACTGCCTTTCCAGTTTTGCCAGTCAATCGATTTTGTGTCTTACGTCGCTGGACTAAAGTCCAACCTTCACTGCGTTTATTTTCAATACATGTATCTTTTGTTAGTTTCATACTACCGACGGAGATTTGCTTTTTATCTTTATCGATTAAATTACTATAATTATTCGTCTTAATGCCCTCACTACACAGCACAGGCGATCTCACAGGTGCAGCCGGAACAACTTTATTAATTGCCGGAGAGTGGAACAGAGCACTATACGCTGGTTTGTTAAATAAATCATTGTTTTGATTGTTAGTAGGTGCACTCATAATATTGTTATTGCCGTGAGACGCTGCTGTGACGTCACACGTCGTGCGGCCGTTCGCGTCAGCTGTAAGCTCCGACGTCACGTGCGGTGGTCCTATCGGTCCGCTGTTTCTAAAATACTCTCCTCTGCGAATATTAATTTTATCATCGCTAAATAAAGATAACGGTGACCTAACCCTTTGAAAATTTTGTTTCAAATCTTCCAGTAAATCTGTAGTGACATAATTGTTTTTGATATGATTAACTTCGGCTTGTAAGATTAGTAAATCTTTAATATCTTCGTGAACTCTACGTGATCGAAAGAAATAGGCGGTAATTTGTGTAGATCGTAGGCCACAAACACAGGTATTTGTTCGGGATCTATCGTCTTAAACACAGCAATAATATCATCGAGATCCTTTTGCTTCTTTTGTTTACGTCTCGACATACACTTTTGTTTAGTCTTAAACGGATGTAAATAATAACTTCTTCGCCTCATCAATCTCCTCTTCAGAAAAAGCCGACTGACAAATCCTTACGAGACTCTCATTGTCCATAACATCGTGTTTATTGCGTATAAACGCCAATACTTCCGAAATAACCACATTACAGTTCGCACATTTAATTAAATTCTCAGACATTTTGACACACAACACAACATCGACCGATCCGCTGCGTATGCACGCGACGACTGAAAAATGAGTTCAATACACACATTAATACGTAGAATATTTTTCAGGTCAACTGAAAGAGCATCAGATTCGAGACCACAACCCGTTTGAGGAGGTTCTACCTCTGTGTTCTACTGAGCACTTGATTAACCTGCCCAAGGTATGTACGTCATATAACTCTACTGCTACTTGTATATACTGCTACTTATTTATCTACAATTAACAAACTGCAATAATATAATAATATATTATTTTCAGAACAAACCCCGCCCTCCTATCAAGGACGTCGCGTGTCACGCCATCAGCGACACGTATGAAGGTGTCACGTTGGTCATACAAGAGGGTCTTCTGTGTCGCGAGTGTGACACGCCGCTTGACAGTGACAAACACTTCCTGTTAGTATAATCACTTGATAAAACGACGCCACAAACATTGAATACAATCAGATTTATTGAATGTCAGTAAAGAGACGTAGTTTTTCCTTTATCGTGTTGAAAACACTCATTAACTTTTACAAAAAAAAAATTATTTTAGTAGCCCTTATTATATTGTGATATAATTATTTTAATATTTCTATATTTTCTAATGAAGAAAGATTAGATAAATAATATACCAAATATTTAAGACATACTAAAGTATAATTTTAATATTCTCAATATACAGCGGTCGCACGTCGCGCAGCAAGTGTCCATATGCTACATCATGTTACCGAGCGATGTTGGGACACAGTGGATATTGCGCCCGCTCACTTTCACTGGAGGCCGCTCCTAGACCCGCTCCCATGCTATACTGCGTCTGCGAATACTCTACAGACATAAGTCAGTTTACACTGGTTATAGGATATCAATCAATACAATATATTTTCATTTTCTTTTATAAATTTTATAACTAACTATGTAACTGTTAGACCAGCAGCATATATAATAAATCAATATAAAATATACAAATACCCAATGACTATAGTAACTAATAAAATATTAATATTTTAATCCCCAGACGGCAGCGTTAAATTAAACAAGTATGTAGTATTAACAGATTTTATTTTCACGACGCAAAAATTGCATACAGTTCGTAAATATTTGCAATTCTGTATGAAAAACTTTGTTGTTCTAATATAATATTACTCCAGGCACGGACATTCTATCTCATCTCCTCGTGACACAACACACAAGCGCGTACTTAACTGAGGAACTAGCACGAGCCAACACCGTCAGGGAAGAACCAAAACCTGCTGATGAAGTAGAGCCTGTGAGTAACTACTAGTGATTACTCATACTGTTTTGCGATTATATTTTAATATATTATGACATTTGCCGCTCAAGCGCGAGGCACGATAGCTCAATAAGCTTAAATAGTGCCTAGTTTTAACAAAATAAACCAAATTTTCATGTCACATAAAATCAAAATAAAATTTTCAAGTCTTAATAACAATTTTATAGAACATATTTGCTCTTTATTCAAAAACTTATAAAGTAATTTAAAAACAGCTTAAATAAACATGCGTTTCGTAAGGAGGAATTCATTTATTTCAGTTTCAATATTAATTTTAAGAGGTCACATCAAATAGTATACTACGTAGAAGAAATTAAAATCATCGTATATCTGTCTTCAGATGATTCCAGTGAACGCTGAAGGCTGTGAGCTGACGGCTAACGTGCTCCTCTACATGGACCATCTCAAACAACACCAGGACAAGGAGCTGGAGATTAAATGTACGAGATGTGTGCTGAGATTCGTACGTCTCGGTGAATAATACAACTGTAAGTACTATATAAACAGATGAAACTAATATTTTCGGATTGTTTCGAGTATTTTATTATTTAAAAAACTATTATATATACACCCGACGTTTCGGTTACTTGTCAGCAACCATGATTAAGGCAGACGAGTTGTCGGGAGTGTGGTGTTTATAAAAATAAAAAAAATACGCGAAGTATTCCGAAAATATTACTTTCATTGAAATTAATACTCGCAAGTCTTAAATCTACTATATAAAAATAAGTCCGGTTTTCCTTCCTGACGCTATAACTCCAGAACGAACGAACCGATTTCCACGGTTTTGCATTCGTTTGCATATTTTAAGTAGATGGTGCCGGTGCATGATACATTGTTTGAAGGCTACTCATTGTTTTCTGCTCAGGTAATTTCATGTGACAAACCGGTATTGTGTTTGTAGTTTAGACTCTTAAAACCATTTAGTATTTGCGGGATAAATTTAGAAAATCATTGTTTTTCACATGGGCAGTTATACTTTGCGTGTTCAGGAGTTCGGAAACCATCCGCTTTATTTGTGTTAACGTTAGACCAAAAAACAAAAAATGTGGTTTACAAAGGACCACTTCAATGAAACGGATAATTTGCTGACACGTATAACGTTTCGATTCGGTATCTACGTTGGATTCACTTTTATTTACTTAGAGAAGTTCAACTAAATAACACTACATTTCTGTAATCGAAATGAATTCATTACTGTTGTGAAACGAAATGTTACATAAAACGAAGCCTGGTGGCGAAACGGAGTCCGCCGGGTTTACTAGTCTCATTATACAATATAAATAAACGCTCACATCTCGTCTGCCCGTGATCACGGTTGCTGAAAAGTAGCCGAAAGGTCGGGAGTATGTAGTTTTTATCAAAAATCAAGTAGCGTAGTATATCCGAAAAATATAAGTTTAATTTACAATAAAATGAGTTCAATACACACATTAATACGTAGAATATTTTTCAGGTCAACTGAAAGAGCATCAGATTCGAGACCACAACCCGTTTGAGGAGGTTCTACCTCTGTGTTCTACTGAGCACTTGATTAACCTGCCCAAGGTATGTACGTCATATAACTCTACTGCTACTTGTATATACTGCTACTTATTTATCTACAATTAACAAACTGCAATAATATAATAATATATTATTTTCAGAACAAAGCCCGCCCTCCTATCAAGGACGTCGCGTGTCACGCCATCAGCGACACGTATGAAGGTGTCACGTTGGTCATACAAGAGGGTCTTCTGTGTCGCGAGTGTGACACGCCGCTTGACAGTGACAAACACTTCCTGTTAGTATAATCACTTGATAAAACGACGCCGCAAACATTGAATACAATCAGATTTATTGAATGTCAGTAAAGAGACGTAGTTTTTCCTTTATCGTGTTGAAAACACTCATTAACTTTTACAAAAAAAAAAAATTATTTTAGTAGCCCTTATTATATTGTGATATAATTATTTTAATATTTCTATATTTTCTAATGAAGAAAGATTAGATAAATAATATACCAAATATTTAATACATACTAAAGTATAATTTTAATATTCTCAATATACAGCGGTCGCACGTCGCGCAGCAAGTGTCCATATGCTACATCATGTTACCGAGCGATGTTGGGACACAGTGGATATTGCGCCCGCTCACTTTCACTGGAGGCCGCTCCTAGACCCGCTCCCATGCTATACTGCGTCTGCGAATACTCTACAGACATAAGTCAGTTTACACTGGTTATAGGATATCAATCAATACAATATATTTTCATTTTCTTTTATAAATTTTATAACTAACTATGTAACTGTTAGACCAGCAGCATATATAATAAATCAATATAAAATATACAAATACCCAATGACTATAGTAACTAATAAAATATTAATATTTTAATCCCCAGACGGCACCGTTAAATTAAACAAGTATGTAGTATTAACAGATTTTATTTTCACGACGCAAAAATTGTATACAGTTCGTAAATATTTGCAATTCTGTATGAAAAACTTTGTTGTTCTAATATAATATTACTCCAGGCACGGACATTCTATCTCATCTCCTCGTGACACAAAACACAAGCGCGTACTTAACTGAGGAACTAGCACGAGCCAACACCGTCAGGGAAGAACCAAAACCTGCTGATGAAGTAGAGCCTGTGAGTAACTACTAGTGATTACTCATACTGTTTTGCGATTATATTTTAATATATTATGACATTTGCCGCTCAGGCGCGAGGCACGATAGCTCAATAAGCTTAAATAGTGCCTAGTTTTAAACAAAATAAACCAAATTTTCATGTCACATAAAATCAAAATAAAATTTTCAAGTCTTAATAACAATTTTATAGAACATATTTGCTCTTTATTCAAAACTTATAAAGTAATTTAAAAACAGCTTAAATAAACATGCGTTTCGTAAGGAGGAATTCATTTATTTCAGTTTCAATATTAATTTTAAGAGGTCACATCAAATAGTATACTACGTAGAAGAAATTAAAATCATCGTATATCTGTCTTCAGATGATTCCAGTGAACGCTGAAGGCTGTGAGCTGACGGCTAACGTGCTCCTCTACATGGACCATCTCAAACAACACCAGGACAAGGAGCTGGAGATTAAATGTACGAGATGTGTGCTGAGATTCGTACGTCTCGGTGAATAATACAACTGTAAGTACTATATAAACAGATGAAACTAATATTTTCGGATTGTTTCGAGTATTTTATTATTTAAAAAACTATTATATATACACCCGACGTTTCGGTTACTTGTCAGCAACCATGATTAAGGCAGACGAGTTGTCGGGAGTGTGGTGTTTATAAAAATAAAAAAATACGCGAAGTATTCCGAAAATATTACTTTCATTGAAATTAATACTCGCAAGTCTTAAATCTACTATATAAAAATAAGTCCGGTTTTCCTTCCTGACGCTATAACTCCAGAACGAACGAACCGATTTCCACGGTTTTGCATTCGTTTGCATATTTTAAGTAGATGGTGCCGGTGCATGATACATTGTTTGAAGGCTACTCATTGTTTTCTGCTCAGGTAATTTCATGTGACAAACCGGTATTTTGTTTGTAGTTTAAACTCTTAAAACCATTTAGTATTTGCGGGATAAATTTAGAAAATCATTGTTTTTCACATGGGCAGTTATACTTTGCGTGTTCAGGAGTTCGGAAACCATCCGCTTTATTTGTGTTAACGTTAGACCAAA